ATGCCAAGTGAGTTTGAGTAAATGGATGACGGATCAGGGTTTAGGATAAATAATAGGAAGAATGCATTATTAAGATCATCAGCGAGAAGGAAGTTGTGGAGAGCCATGATTGCCTAAGTTCTGAGGGTACGAAGCACATAAAGAAGGATACGCTTATGTAAGTGTGTGTTTCGTGCATATCATGTGCCAGCGAGTGCTTCTTGCATGTTTCTTTCACCCCGATGTTTTGTACAGGAGTAGTGGTTTATTCCTTATTTCCCTTTTAGCACTGGGGTTCTGGATCTTTTTAAAGACTTCTATACTTCTATCGGTTCCAAGTGAATTCTGAAATTTTATTTAATAATTAAATCTTGACTTCTTCAAATCTAGAGTTAGAACTTATCTTTGAACTTATTTTTGCATATATATATATATATATATATATATATATATATATATATATATATATATGTGTGTGTGTGTGTGTGCGTTTGTGTGTGTAAAATATATAGAAAATAGGAAAGAACTCGTTAGGCAAATAATCCAAAGTTCTTTAGTATTTTTGTTATTATTTTTAAAAAATAGTGCTCGATACAAAAGTAGAGCATGTATATAATTATTTATTTAAACATATGATTCCAACACGCTACATAAGAGTTCTCATGTTTCAAAACAAGAGCCGAAAACTTCAATATAATTATTTGAATTAAATTGAATTAAAGTACGAAGCTCTGTTCTAACTTCAAGAGAAATTTTATTTGGAATAACTAATTCCTGAAATTTACGCGTTTTATAAGAATATTCATTATTCATTAAGCTTATAAAACCCGTAATTTATAGAATTATTACAATTCAGATGTGTATTTTTTTTAAAATTTCATTCAAAGAGATTTTTAAAAATTATACATTTTAGTTATAGTATATATAAGTATATTTATAGTATATACCAATAGTATATTTTGTTAAAAATGGTAACGAACCCAAAAACACTGATGTCCTTTTATGTCACTTTTATATATATATATATATATATATATATATATATATATATATATATATATATATATATATATTAAGTACCAACATGAGATCGCTGGAAAATGAGCATAGCAGGAAAAGAACGGTATAAAACTATATATATATATATATATATATATATATATATATATATATATATATATATATATATATATCAAAAAAAAATAAAATCCAAAATCACTTCATATGGTGAATACCCTATTTCAACAAGGGAAAACACCGGCCCTCTGTCTCATCAATCCCGGCATGGACTGAGAAATTTAATTGTGAAAGCTTTTTTTTTTTTAAAAAAAAAAAAAAAATTCTGAAAACCAATGCAGAATTTATCCATTTCAATTTTTCATTGATACGAAAGGCAGGGGAGTCAGGGGAGGCTGGAAGGTATTTGTCTTAAAAGGGAAGAAGATTTATAAAATTAAACCCAAATATTAACCTTATGACATTAATTTGAGGTTATATGAAGAATGAAATATTAATTTAAAATTAAAAGAGGAATAAAAAGGGGTTTAAAAATAACTTCAAAATATATAGATAAAAGGATGTAAAGGATTAATGAAAAGAGGGGTGGGGGGATCTTAGATTACGGGAAAGTTTATAAATTATAATTAATATAGGTAAAAAGAGGTTATAGGGGAAATATCGAAATTTGAATTAGTAAAACTTTCAACAACTGAAGAGTTAGAGGGGAGTGAATATTATGGAAAAGTAGTAGTTAATTAAATTAAACCTGTATCATAGATATTTATATATATATATATATATATATATATATATATATATATATATATATATATATATATATATATTTGAACAATAGAAAATATTAAAAATTAAAATCTTCAGACACACTGGGTTGTAGATTAATATTCTTTCGCTTTTATTATTATAATTTCATTTAGATTCCTCGACTAGTTTCGGCCAAAATGGCCATCATCGGGAGAAGAAATATTTCTGCTTGTTGGTAGCAGTAAACTACAGAAATGAATGTATTGATGGGGAAAATGAACTTTTGTCTGTAGTTTTCATTTGTTTTTTTTTAATTTTTTTATATTTTTAACATAAATCTTTTAACATTCCTTGTGTTGGTCAAACAGTCTCTTTTAAGTTTTTATTTGAGATAAGAGCTGGATAGATCTATGCTGCTCTGAATTCCCCTGGAATATATATATATATATATATATATATATATATATATATATATATATATATATATATATATATATATACAGTGACCCAAAAAAACAAAATTTTTGAAGTGCGTATTGCCAGACATGAGCAAGTGACAACACTGCGAGACAGTGACCTTGAGCAAGTAAACATTTCGCCATTTAGAATTCAAGATGAAATTCACAGTATCCCAGCTGAGATGTACAGGACGTAATTTTTAAAAAGTGAAAATTCTATCATTGTTTCTTAAATGGCATGCTTTAAGGTTTCAATTACTATGAATAAAATATTTTTCTTCCATCACTCTTGGTTTTAT